GGTGGCGCACACCTTTAATCCCAGCACTCTGGAGGCAGAGGCAGGCGGATCTCTGTGAGTTCGAGACCAAGCCTGGTCTACAGAGCGAGTTCCAGGACAGCCTCCAAAACAATACAGAGAAACCCTGTCTCAAACAACAACAACAACAACAGATCAGTCAACATTCCAGTATAAAGAGTGGAGGGGCACCAGAGCCGCCACCCCTAACTGAGCACTGTTGGCATTGATGGCTGTTGGGAGAGGGACAGTCAGTTTTCTTTAGGGGTGTATGGTCCCTGGAAAATCGGTCATGTTCTAGTGGATGGTCTCACAGCTGTGTGTATATGGGCAGCACAAATTGAACCCAGTGGGCTATTAATAAAAAAGAACAAGGAAAGAAATGGACGTGAGGTTGGGAGGGGTGGGGGTAGATCTAGGAGTTACAGGAGTATGAACATGACCAAACTACATCATATGCATGCACGGCACTCTCGAATGAAAATATTAAAGATGTAATTATCTTTCCCCCTTGCAGATGTGAATCTGGTTACACTGGACAGCACTGTGAAAAGACGGACTTTAGCATTCTCTATGTAGTACCGAGTAGGCAGAAGCTCACTCACGTTCTTATCGCAGCCATCATCGGAGCTGTGCAGATCGCCATCATAGTAGCAATTGTCATGTGCATAACAAGGTAGGTGATGGCCACGGAGTGCCGACTTTCAGCTGTGCACCGGGAGCTGTGAATCCGAGAAAGCCCGTAAGAAAGCATGTGCCCCGCCGGGTGGTGGTGGCACACGCCTTTAATCCCAGCACTCGGGAGGCAGAGGCAGGCGGATCTCTGTGAGTTTGAGGCTGGGCTGGACCGATAGCCTCCAAAACAATACAGAGAAACCCTGTCTCGTAAAAACCAAAAAAAATAAAAAATAAAAAATAAAAAAAGAAAGCATGCGCCCTGTGCTTGCCAGGGTCCTTAAGCTGGCCAATCCTCAGGTGCGGTTTCAGTGTCTGGTTCACTGGACAAAATTCCTACGTGGGTCTGACTTCTCCCTGCCTTGTCTCTTTACAATATGTTTGGGAACTCCTTCCCAGAGCTAGGGACATATCTGGGTTATAGGCAGAGAGGGTGTGAGATTGTCCATGAAATCAAGGTGGGTAGGGATCTTAGAACTGTATCCTAGGACTGCTGAATTCAGGGACAGTGTTTGTAGCAGAGTTTCTGAGATACATTTAAGGAAGGGCCGGGCAGCACTACTTTATGGTCTGAGGATATATATATATATATATATATATATGTATGTATGTATGTATATATGTATATGTATATGTATATGTATATATACATACATATATATATATATAGAGAGAGAGATATTTTACCTTAGTAAGTGTAGTAAGAAGACAACCATCAGCTTTAAAGATGACCCCTGACTGCATCATTGACTCAACATCACTTCCTCTTCCTCATATCAGTGGTAAGTAAAAGGTTTTAAAATGCCGTGTTAAAAATAAAAGCACTGAGGCCAATTGGATAAATACTCTTGCCACCAAACCCCACGGGTTCTAGGGTAGAAGGAGAGAATCACTTCCATATTATTTGCAGTGCAGTTGACAGTAAATGGGTGTTTCTCAAACTGAGTAGAAATGTGTCCGCCCAGACTGGAACTTAAAAAAGCCAGAGCAGATGCCACGCTCTTCCATCTCCTGCCTGAGCCCCTTCCTGGCCTCCTCCTACCTCCTTTAAGTTTTGGTTGGCATGTCACACGAGTACTGTCTTTGTACTCTCCCGCTTGTGTGAGTCACAGCAAATCAAGTAGGTGTGGACAAGCTGATTGGATGCACAGGCCTTCTACGCAAGGCCTGGAGAGAGACCCGCAAGTCGTCCCCGCACCCTGGAGCCAAGATGACAAATCTAGAAATGATGGGAAAATGTCCTCTGAGTAGCTGATAATTTTCGTGAAGTTTAAAGCACTAAAGTCAGCGTGCTTTATTCCATAGAACAGATGATCTGCCTTTAGGCAAGACTACCGAGCATAAAATTGGGCAGTAGATCAAAGTAGGGACATAATGGCATAACAAACAATGACAACAGGAAAAAGGGATGGAGGGAAATATTTAACAGCCCAGCCAGCTGTGGCCATTTAATCCGGGCTCAGAGGTTAACTACTTTGCCTGTGGCCATTCAGCCAGCAGAAGGGGGAGGTGCCTGGGTTTTGGATTCAGTGCTGTGTGATTCTCCAGTCTTTCCTCTTTCAACGGAGCCATCTAGAGGCAGGGCCATGCTGAGTCCTGTTGGGAATAGGTCAGCCAGTTATGACTGCTGCGTGGGGGCAGGAGCCAGACTTGCTTTTGTCAAGTTTAGTGTGTTTGAGCCATACTAAAGGCCGCGTGCAGAGCTGACTGGACTAGGGAAGATGGGTGATAAGGGGGGGCCCTTTAGGGCGTTGGTAGGGTTCCTGCACATTGTGGACACTGTCCTGACATTTGTCCCACATTAGGGCCACATTTATTGCTATGTAAGGAACACAGCCTTTCCCCACCCTGCTCCCAAATGGCTTGCTGTCTTGTGTGTGGAATATTGTGATTATGTTCTTGGACCACACCACTGAATTTTCAAGGCACGCCTCTCCCATGGAGTCCATTAAGGGACAGGTGCTCATCCACAATGGCTACTGCTTGTGAGGGATCTTCCTTTAAATGGGTGTTCCTACCGGCCCACTTATCTGAGAGTAGTGCTTTCTTCTTTTATGCTTAGAATCTTCTTTCATGTTTTCAGATTCCTAGAATGACAGATTGGCAGGGACTTTGAACGTGTCTCAGCCAAACTCTTTTACTGTATAGAAGGAAAAAACCTTGGTCCCAGGGACTTGGAACTCATCCCGGTCATGGTGGGTTAGTGGTAGTTGAAGCCGGGTACTCGGCCTGTCAGCGAGCTCCTTCATTTATGAAATGGCTATGATCCCAGCTCTGCCTATTTTTATAGGGATTAGTGAGAGAAAACCCTCTGAAAACCATCAGAAACGTTGTCATTAAGGCTTTTAAGTTGAGGTAAAGCAGTCCCCTTTGAAACTGAGTAAAAGCGTGCTCTAATGAAACTGAACACAAGAGCAAAGGGACTCAGTCCCAGACACTGTTTCCACTCGGGGGCACTGAGTTTGCACAGGTTTGCACAGGCAGTCACTACTACTGCCGTAGGGTCCAAACTCAAAGCAGCCAGCATTCATTTCAGTGCTGTTACTCTGCATGAATGCATTCTCTTGTCCGGAGACTCATTCCGTATTAGCCACACATCTACTTTAATAAAAGGGCAGGGTCCAGGAATCTCTCCCCTGCCATCCTGTGGCACGCCGCAGCTGGGTGTACACCAGCTCCTTTTGAATGTTTTCCTTGAGTTGGAGGACTTCAGTGCATCCCGCCTGAGATTATCGGCCCCGTGCTACTCCATCTCCAGTTAAGCTTTTCTTGTGGTTTGGTGCCGCTTTGAAAACTACCCAGGTCAGCATCTCTTCTACTATGACAGCAATCCGTCGCCGGAACTGAGCGGCTGCCAGACCAGAGAGGCAGACGTCCTTCTCAGAAGTGTGTCTCAGCAGGGCAGGCACGGTTCTTAACTCACGAGGGTGATCCCTCTCAACTCCCAGCTATTCAGCAAAGAACAAACAGTCATCATGCCTGTCCTCATCTTGCATTGAATTAAACAGTGTCTTGTTTTGTTTCCTTACTGGGTGTGCAGTGTGTGAGCTGTGTTACTTAGACATAGTTTAAACATCCTTAACTAAATGATTTTTTTTTCTGTATTTTCATGCAACAGAAAATGTCCCAAGAACAATAGAGGACGCCGACAGAAGCAAAACTTAGGCCATTTTACTTCAGACACTTCATCCAGAATGGTTTGAACTCCTGACTTTTATATGCACACTAACCATGCGATGTACATTTATTATGTCTTTTTTTAAAGAACGGAAATATTTATTTCAGAGGCCTTATTTTTGGACATTTTTAGTGTAGTACTGTTGGCTCGTATTTAGAATATTTAGCTACAGCAGTTTTGGACTGTTTAGTAGTCTCTGTTTTATGTTTTTAAATACAGAAATTGATTTCACGGATTTGTACCACATGGTAGTACTAAGAATTGTTCTTTACCCATGGAATGTAATATTTTTGCAGAGACGGCTGGGCCCACTTCGCAGTGGCTATAAAGTCATACTTCTTCCCCAGTGACCACGGCAGACGGCAAAGCATGAACTGAAAGGAAAGATGTTTACAGATTACTTTTCTTACAAAAAATACAAATCTAGAAGACACTGTGTTTAAATATATTTAAATGTTTTTGAGATTTAGTACCTGATTTTTTTAGATACTGCCCCTATTGCATGAGTTGCAAAGCTGTGTGTGTGTTAGATGTAACATATTTATAAGCTGTATGGACTGGAATTGACGATTTCTCTCTTTGAAGATGTAATTCTAATAATTTGAATTAATGATGGAACAGATCATTGAAAATAGATTTAGATATTGTCAAGATAGGCTATTTAATGAGCAGATTGGAATAAAACATACATATCAGTTAAACAACTTTACTACACATTCATTTTTAAACGTGGTATTTGTTTTAATATAAATACACAAATTGTATCAGTGTTTGTGAATACAATGCAGAAATAATTGTTAATGATTGGTGCTCTGAAAGTGAGCTTAAAAATGACCTAAGACCTCTAATTCAAATTTGTCCTGTAGTAGCTCTATTAATAGACTGTTGGTGTTTAAAGGTCTGAAATGTGAGTAGACTGTATTGAGGTGTTTAACGTGTAGTTTGCCTAGTCAAAATTATGCATGTAGAATTTTAAGACTATGTTCAAACTTAAATATTAATTTTAATAATTTGATTTGGAAAAGCATGTTATAATATAATGTTTTCACTATATGGTCTGTTTTGTGTGTTTATTTATTGTACCCTTTGGTATGGATCTGTTAGTACTTGTAATAAGTGAAATTAACAGGAAAAGAAGATTGCAGTCCAAAATGTCTCTTACACAAGCTATTGCTTGAAATGATCCAAAGAGAAAACGTTTGCTCAGTGTTGGAGCCACTTGGCTTATAGGCTTCTTATGAGTAATGTAGTGGCTTTAGTGAACTTCTTGACACGGCTTAGCTTCCCTTTCCACCCACACAGCCTTATTTGAGGCCCTTAGTCAGTCGGCAAGCATGTTTGGAACTGGCCCCGGTGCTTTGGGAGCGCTCGTGTTGCAGGGCAGTCACGGATGGGCATCTGTAGTTATAAATACTTGACCGCTCTCCAGGGTGCGGTGGTCAGCCCTTTACAGCAGCTTCGGTGCCTGCTAGCAAGCCGGCTTTGGCCTGGAGGGCAGGAACAGATTGCCGTAGGACATCGTTTGCTGAGAAAGAAGTAAAATGGAACACAATGGGTCTGCCTCCAATGCTGACAAAATCCACCAGAATCGATTGTCAAGTGTGACTGAAGACGAAGACCAAGATGCTGCTCTTACGATTGTGACCGTGCTGGACAAGGTGGCCACCGTCGTGGACCGTGTGCAGGCAAGCCAGAAGAGGATAGAAGAGAGACACCGGGAAATGGAAAACGCTATAAAGTCTGTTCAGATCGACCTGCTGAAGCTCTCCCAGGCACACAGCAACACGGGCTACATTGTTAGCAAGCTCTTTGAGAAGACCCGGAAAGTCAGCGCCCACATCAAAGACGTGAAGGCCCGAGTGGAGAAGCAGCAGGTTCATGTAACCAAAGTTGAAAGCAAACAAGAAGAAATAATGAAGAAAAACAAGTTCCGTGTGGTGATATTCCAGGTAAGCTCGTGCCTGTGTTCAGCTTGGTGGCTATAATCTCTTTCACCATTTGTCATTGTCAGGTCACAGTTTCCAGTGTCGTGTCTCAGCCATGACCTGTGGTATGCAGTGGGACTCACTGAGAAGCCACCTCAGGATAGGGCCGTTTCTTGCTAACCAATGCTCTGTCATCCATGTCTTGAGCTTCTTACTGGTTACGTAGTGTGAACGGTGGCTTGTGGCTCGAGCTGTTTCTTGCCTTGGAAACTTAATACTGTCAGTTTTTTCCAGCGTTTGAATCCTGTTAAGCACAGTGACCCAGTAGACTTTAGAATGCTGGAACCAAAAGGGCCCTGGGAAATCTCAAGTTTAAAAACCACCTTTGTTACACAAAAGAAGAAGCTGGGAGGGGCAGAGGATGGGGAGCAGTCACCACATGGCTGAGGCTTGCATTCGCTATACAACTTCTCCCTAGAAGAAAACAAGTAGGAACCAACACCCCCACAGTCCTGGCTTTATTATTGTCATACGGAGCCGAGAAACCCCAAAACTTCTCGGAACATATTTGCCCATTGATTTTTTTTTTTTGTATTATCCACAGTAAGAAAAGTTACCTGTTTTTGATTGAAAAATTGGGCCATTTATTTAGTTTTCAAGTTTCTGCTGGTATTTTGAGATAGTCTAGCCTATAACCCATGCTGACCTAATCATCACTCTGTAGTAATCTAGGCTGGCCTCAAACTGGCAATCCTCCTGCCTCAGCTCCCCAAGTGCTAGGCTTATAAATGTGAGCCACCACTCCAGCTTAAGTTTTATTTTTTATATTATTCTTACAATAATACAGATATAGACATTCCGTAGTTAATTCTTTACTTAGCTGAAAAGCTTTTTTTCTTAGTTGGTTTAATAAATTGTGTTCATTGTTGCATTTTTTTTTTGCTAAGTTCCTATAACTGCTCAAAACTTTAAAAAAGAAAATGGAACATACCCATGGCAATACATAATGTCTCCAGTGTAATTTTTAAGCTCCTGTAAATTAAAAGGGACAGGCTCAACTCTCTTCCACATTGAAAAAGAATAACGACGAGAGGAAAGTTTATAGAATAGAAAGTAAATGAGAACAGAGCAGTTTTTCTTACCCATCTAAACAGTGGCCATTACAGAGCTATAAATCCAGAGTGTGGGTGTTAGAGAAGAACGACCTTCCCTGTTCTGCTGTTGGGAGAATTAGCTGGCACAACACTTTGGAAGACGTTTCTGATAATGTGTATTATGAATTTTAAAATTACCAAGTCTTCTGGCCCCCAAATTTCGTGTCAGAGAATCTTCTCTAAGCATAAAAGCATATAGCATGCACGGCTCTATGCTTTGAAAAGTGGAAGTCGTGCGCACGAACCCTGGAAGAATACAAACCAAAATGAAGTAAGGACACAGTTGGTGGAAACGTCGGGGCCCATTACCTTCACGTTGTTTGTGCGTTAGTCGGTGTCCCAGAGCCCGCTGTGGTGAGTGGTCGAGTTACAATGGAAAGGTGAGGGGCATGCACTTCTGCGTCTGTTTTTAAGAGTTCACCGGTTACTGAGGAACACATAGGGAGGAGAGAGATGATGTGCTTATTTCAAAGAGAGATGAGCTGCAGATGTCAATTCCATTTTGGTGGGGGGGGGCTGCCTTGGGGGCTCACCCTGCACTCGCCTGTGGCCTGTCAGGAAGTACACTTGGAGTCCCACTGTTTGGGGACCTATATGCCAAGCAGTGGACCAGGTTTCCCACGGGATTGACAGACACTACAGCAAGCTAACAAAAATTGTAGCTGGTCCCATCTATTGATGTAATTCTCTCTCTGTTTTCCTATTTGTCTCTATTTCCTGTAACTTACTGGTATTTTCCCCGTCTTTGGATCCTATAGTTCCATAAAGGAACTGAGAGGCTCTGGTTAGTGACAAACCTCTTTTCTTTTAAGATAGAATATCTTGAAGCATCTGTTTAGTTGTTCAAATTATGCAAGAGTTTGTAAAAAAAAAAAGCATTTGCTATCTTTTCTAAGCATACATGTAAAATATGAAGTCTCATGGACATAGGACTAGACTCATGTACTTGTTACATGTTAGAATATATATAGGTCTGGACGATATTTGCAGAGTTACTTTTAGCTTTTAAAATGAGCTATAATTAATACTCATAGTTTTTAAAAGATTTCCCTTCTAAAATTATTTTGAAACTTAAGCTAGTCAACTGAAGTGTATCTTCATTTCCATTTGAAGTTTTCCCTGGGCATATCCTTTGTTGATAATCTTCTTTATTGATAACAAGGATAAACTTGGTAACAAGGGATAATAATAATGAAAACAGTATCCGACAAACAAAATACTGGTACCCTGTCCTCTGCGGTTGTGTATGACTAAGCTTTTGCCACATTCTACATGTTGGCATTTGAAGACTGTGACACCCCAGCCCAGGCCTTTTCTCTTTGAACACTTGTTCACCCTGGTGACCCCTCACTGTGCATGGCCTGAGCCACAGCATGCCTTCTCATGATCCCAGCTGCTCCGTAAGCACCGGTCTGTGGCAACCAAATAAATATTGAAGTTTGATTAAGTCCCAGAGTTCTGTGCGTCCAAAATGTCCCTATCTGTGTTACTTTCATATTAATTCAGTTCCGCTTTATTCTGACCCACAGTATTCATTCTGTTACAAAAAAACATACTTTAAAACAGGTATGGTGGTGTATACCTCCAGTGCTTGCTTTTGTGAGGTGAGAGGCAGGAGGATTTGGAATATATGCAGTGAGTCTAAGGCGTGCCTGAGCTATGTGAGACCCTGTCTCAAAAACAACAATGAGCTAATTTTACCTGGGTTTTCATGTACAAATGTGGCTGTATTCAGAAGTCAAGTGTAGTTTACCCCTACAACCTTCTGTTATTAGTACCGTGTTTGTCCTCAGCCCATAGTAGCCAGGATTCATAGGGACTGTGACAGGCTTCCAGGCAAGTCCACTTCTACCGTTGCCTCTGTTCACCTTGGGTTGTAAGCCCGATCTTGTACTGTCTGTGGTGTGTTTGAAGAGAAGGGCGTGCGAGTCCCGTCTCCCTCTGTCTGGTGCCTTCATTGCAGGAGGTGGGGATTTCTACCTACCACGCATACCCTTTGGTTCTTTCCTTGTGTAAGTATACCGTCTCAGGCTCGCCCAGCCCACACGGAGGTTGCTCTCCACAGCAGGTGCCAGGAAGGAGAGGGACAGCTTCCCTGCCCCTCACTGATTCATCAGAAAGCTATGAGACGCCCGCTTCTGCCTCTTTAGCTGGGGAGAGGGAGGCTCATGGGCGCTCAGATCCGGTAGCCAAAAATGTAATTTAAGCTAAGGAATAAGATTCTAAGGATGCCTTCCTGACTATCAGGCTGGTTACATCTTAGGGTGTGTGCAAGTGTCCTCCTGTGCCCTGTGCTAGCCTGCCTTTAGCAGATTCTCTTCTGACACTCTTGGCAGAGGTGGTTTTTCTCTTCAGACTGCTTTGCCCTCAGCCTCTGGGGTTCCACTCTCCTGGTGTCCTTTCTTCCCTCATGTATAGGTTCAAAATCCTCAAATGTTCTAAAATCAATAAACATTCCCTCCCTCCCTTCCCCATCCCCTCCCTCCCATTTCTTTCTTCTAACAGGCTGGTATTGAACTTGTAATCCTCCTGCCTCAGGCTTCCGAGAACTGGGGATATAGTCATGGCAGCAAAATAAAACTAAAGATGACGCATTTCACAGGAGACTTTGCTTGACCTGAAGTTTTTCTGGAACTAGTATATTATCTATCATAGTTTCCTAAAGTCAATTTAATTCTGAATTTTGAGATACCTCATGCATAATTTGTCTCTGAGGAGTTTAGAATGAAACACCACTCTGTTGTCTATATCTCTTCTGATCTCTTGCCTTGGGTATGTGTGTGTTTGATGTGTGTAAGTATGTGTGTATGTTGTGTGTATAATATGTGTGTGATTGTGTATATAAGTGTGTATGATGTGTGTATGATTGTGTGTGTAAGTGTGTATGATGTGTGTGTATGGTGTGTGTATGATGTGGGAGTGTGCATGGTGTAAATGTGTATGGTGTGTGTAAGTGTGTGTGTGTGTGATGTGGGCACAGGTGTGCTACATCATGTGTGTGGAACCCAGAGGAAAGCTTTTGGGAGCTGATTTTCTCCTTCCCTGGGATCTGCACTCGGGGTCTGAAGGGCGCTTGCTTGGCAAGTACTTTTTAGCTACTGAGCCCAAACGCATCCCCTATGCCTTGCTTTTTTATATGGGTGTCAGGGTTGAGTGTGTGGCAAACACTTCACCAACTGAGACCTCCCTAGTGCAAGAGTTTCCTGACTTGTAATTGCATCACTGTATTAGTGGTTCCTGAATGCTTATTTCTAGCCCTTACCTCCCTCCTGACTCGCAGTTGCTCACCCTCTCTGTCTGCACACACAGTGCCCATTCCAAAGGTGGCTCAGCTTCCCTTGCAGGCTCCTGGTCTGCTTCAGTGCCTGTCCCAGTTAATGAGATCCCTCCCTCTGTTGGTCTAGCAGCAGATCCTGTGGGTTCTGACCTTCAAAGCATACCTGCAGTCAGAAGACTTCTCACACCTTCCCCTGCTTACCCTCCCTCCCCAATCTTCCCTGCCTCTGCCCAAACTCAGTACTGTACTGCCATTCTCCTTGCTTGTCCTACCCTCGTGGCTTGCTTTCAGCAGAGTGACCCTTGCACAGCGTGGGTCAAATCATGACTCTGCTGGCCTCACTATTGGCCATGGGCCTCAAAACCTTGGGAAGTATTCCTGTCAGAATAGTAAATTCTGTCCTCACTATTGGCCATGGGGCCTCTCTTGACCTGGTCTTCTTAACTCTCTACTTGGGGCAAGTTGGGACATTTGAACTGATTGTTGAAGAAACCTATCATTTGTAAAGCTAAAAAAGGAAAAGGGGTGTAGGAGACAGACACAACCACATATATGAAGGTGTAGAGGGTGAGTGTCTACTTGAGTGTCTAGTGCAGATACGTTGGACAACATCCACAGTCATCCTGGGATTTACATCCAGAGTGCTATATGGTGGACTCCTCTTGTGTAGAGGGTTTAAAATCTTTTGTGTTTGAAGACCTTGAGAATGGTGCGTATTTCTGGACTGGAGAGGAGGGAAAGTAGGGTCAGGTAAAGAATTTCCTAAGCATCCTACAAGGTTCCGGTTCTTTCCTTGAGCACTGAGGGACTCTTGGACGTCTTCAGTGAGTTATAACCAGACCGTGATATAAAAAACGGTTCTCAGGAAACTCTCAGATAATGGTCTAGAGAGGGATTGGAGGGGATTGATGCCCAAGTTCAGACCTGAGGTCATGAGGAGCAGAATGAAGACATGGGTGGAGGAGTAAAAACCAAACAAATCATTCTGCACTGTTACCGGAAGAACTTGATGACTAGTTGACCACGGGACAAGAGGGGACATTGTATTTGGGGGTGATAATTCTGAAGTCTCTGCTTTGTGTGGCAGCAAAGTGGTCCCTGGTGCTGAGAGAAAGGGAAGGAAATGCAAGTGGAGAGCGCCATGGCGTTTGCACCTCTGACTGAAAGGTGCTGTGCTATATCCAGATGGAGAAGTTTGTCATCTTAGGAGTGGAGACGCAAAAAAACATTATTTGTGTGAAAAAGGCCAAGGGGACAAACAGCGTGAAGGAGGGTTGGAGGTATCGCTAGAGGTAAAAGCTGGTGCCTGCTACACAGGAAGTACTCACGTGTCTCTCTTCTGTCCTTCAGGAGAATGTCCGGTGCCCCTCATCCCTGGCTGTGGTTAAAGACAGAAGCCTGCCTGAGAACCAGGAGGAGGACGAGGAAGTCTTTGATCCCCCGATAGATCTCTCATCAGATGAAGAGTATTCTGTAGAAGAAAGCAGATCTGCCAGGCTTAGGAAGTCAGGCAAGGAGCGCATTGATCATATCAAGAAGGCATTTTCCAAAGAAAACATGCAAAAGACACGGCAGAATTTTGACAAGAAAGTGAGTGGAATTAGAACTAGAATAGTCACGCCCGAGAGGAGAGAGAGGCTGCGGCAGTCAGGAGAGAGGCTCAGACAGTCAGGAGAGAGGCTCAGACAGTCGGGGGAGAGATTTAAGAAATCGATTTCAAATGCTGCCCCCTCCAAGGAGGCTTTTAAGATGCGCAGCCTTAGGAAACCCAAGGATCCCAAAGCTGAGAGCCAGGAGGGAGACAGAGGGATGGGCGTGGACATCATCGCAGGTAGCCTGGCTCTGGGGCCCATCCATGAGTTCCATCCTGATGAGTTCAGTGAGACACAAAAGGAGGTGGACCCCCCGACTCCCGAGCCTCTGAAGGTGACTTTTAAACCTCAGGTGAGAGTAGGTGACGATGAGTCCCTCCTGCTGGATTTAAAGCCGTCCTCGTAGAGAGGCATTAAGTATGAGCGTCCATCTCAGTCACAGTAGGGTAGTCTGCTAGTCACACACAGTAGAAAAGCAAATGGCACAAAAGCTTCGTTTCTTTCAAATCCTAAAGGTTATAGAAATGTTATATGCAACCTTCTTATGGGAATTCCATTTCCCCTGAGAATCTATGACTCTGACAGCTTTTTTTTTTCCCTCGAGTGTCATACCTTTTTATGGCAGCTCTTGTCCAATTAGAATATAGTTGCATGGCTCAGATCAGTTAGATGCTTGGTCATCCCAGGTCAGTTAGATGCTTGGTCATCTGTAACACAGGAGGGACAAATCTGTGCCCGTCGTTCACCAGCAAACTAGATTCGGGTCAGGATTGACAAGTCCAGTCACAAAGGGGAGTAGCTAACGAGTGTATTGCATTATCCAGATGTTCCCATTGGGAGATTGATTGGTGAATCAGTAGCCACACCCCTTATGAAGCTCTTGTGTGAGGGAAGATAATTAAGTTTTGAGCTTGAGCCTTTAGCTGTGTCATCATACTTCCCTGCTAGTAAAGGAAATGGGGAGGGATTGCTGGCCCCGCACTTCCTGGAGAACTTGAGATCTGAGGGATGTCATTGAGTGTGGGGACATCCAGTGGAGAAACACGAACCACGTGGTGCTTCTAAGCTGACTTAACAGCGGTGTCTATGAAGAAGCCCTCAACGCCAGGCACTGAGGCCCGAGTTGAGCAGAAACTGAAGTTGTGCTTTGCAAGTCTTTTCATGGCTTGAAGAGTGAACAGTAAATTCTTGGAGGAGCAATTTTTTATTAACGGCCGACACCAACCTTGGAGTTGTGGCTGGGTCCTAACATATTCCTTAGAAAACTGTCTCTGATTGTCATCAGACGTGGGTTGGGGCGGACTGGTGCAGGTTTTGTGTGCACAGCAATGAGCTGGAAGTCCGTCCTGAAGTGGCTTTTTTAAGGTCTGCCCTGATGAGGGCATAGAAGCGACCTCCAATGCTCTTAGTTTGCAGAGTGAATCTTCTAGGGCTGACGTGTCCAAAACAGTGCCCATGGGCATTTATCACAGCTACTTTGCTGGACTTCAGATTCCAGGTTCTATGCGGTCTGCAAGTACAAATTGCCACTGAAGGAAAACCACACCCATTTTGCACTTCCCGCCCACTGAAGTCTTTGTGTCATTTTTTGATGTGGAAGCGACAGCAGAATTTTTGATAGATTTCTTTCCTCACATTCAACTTGGCTTTGAATAATCATGTAGTAGTTAGAAATAGGCAGGCATGGGAGTGCATGCCTGGTGCCCCAGGCTGAGACAAGAGGATCATAGTGCCCTAAGTACATGGTCATCTTGCTTTCTTTTTTTCAAGACCAGGCTGGCCTCGAACCCAGAGATCTGCCTGCCTCTGCCTCCTGTGTACGTATGCCTCCACCACCAGGCATCTTGGTATCTTTCTACATTGCAAACTAAAGCATGCACAGTGTTGAGTAAAACTCCGAAAGCATCATTCCAAAACAACGTTTTTGTAACTGCTTAGGAGGAGGTTGGGTTTCCAGCAGTAGATGTGAGTGTGAAATGGTGTTATTTTGAGGCCAGGGTTGTGGCTGGAAAGCTTTTAACCAATGGTGAATGGAGACAGCGGTATGCAAATGAAGGATGAAGTTGGATAGTTTTTAACCAATGGTGAATGGAGACAGCGGTATGCAAATGAAGGATGAAGTTGGATAGTTTTTAACCAATGGTGAATGGAGACAGCGGTATGCAAATGAAGGATGAAATTGTAAATGGAGGGTAGGAGGGATATGGGGAAGTTACGTTGTTGGTTCCCGTTTGTTTCAGTTGGGCTGAAATACTTTTCTGCAGATATCTGGGGCTTTTGTGTCCTGACTCAGACCCAGATGACATCTTGGGAAGCTTTGGCTTGGGCTTGTGAGGCGCAGAGACCCTGAATGGTTCATGTCGCTGGGGGCTCATGGTAATCCTGTGCTTCATTTTAATTTTGCTACCAGGATTTTCCCTCCATGTCTCTAATGTGTTCGTGTCTTTCCGTGTTTAGGACATTCCTGAATTCCACATTCTTGATTTCCTGTACCTTCACCCTGTTTTACTGGTGCAAAGACAGTGGGCTGCAGAGTCCACACACTCACTTAGTACAGGGGGTTTTCTAGTCCGTGTCCACTATTGTGAACGCTTCCGGAAACACTAGGTTATTTACTCATCTGTGATGCAGAGGCACAGATATCAGGCATTAAATAATTTACTCAAGTCAAACCTTTAGCAGGACTTACCACCATTCTCATGAGATACAGCAGAACAGCAGCCTCAGATGCCAGGGTTGGGGAGCTGGTGTTGAAGCTCTTCCAGGGGTGACAGAGGGGGCAGTGCCAACCTGTCTCCTGCATGTGATGATCCAGGTGTCCCAAGTGAGCAGTGGCTTGGCCCCTGCTTACAGGTTAGAGAAACACATGATGCTGAATATTAGCGTGAGTGGACTTGTTCCCCAAAAGCAAGTTCTCATGAATGAAGAACAGAAGCCAAAGTAAAATACAACCATTTTGACTTCATTCTTTGCTTTTTGTACACATTAAAGGGCTGCTTTTGAACAGATCTGGTGGTCATGGTGATTCTTTTTTTAATTAAAGATTTATTTATTCATGTCTGTGTTTGTGAGCATATACTTAGGTGTGTGTAAGCTAGAAGAGGCCATCAGGTGTCCCCCTAGCATCTGATTCTGCCCTCTAGGTACCTGTTCTTTGGAGGCAGGGTCTCTCCCTGAAGGCGGTATTCCTGTTTTCTCATTTAGGCCAGAAGCTAGCAAGTTCCAGCCATCTTCCTATATCTGATCGTCTTTAAAGATGAGTTGCTTCTGTGAGTACTGGGATTCAAACTCTGGTCCTCACAATCACAGAGAAAGTACTCATAACTGCTGAGGCATCTCTCCAACCCCTCATTGTGATTCTAATCTGTTAAAGGGTGTGAGTCGTGTTGTGCAAAGTATTCCCCAGAACCATGTTAACTGCGTTTTGACTACATGAGATCACTGGGCCCCTTTTATTTTTATTCTTGGACAGGTTTTCTGGTTTTGAACTCCTCGTAAGAAAATTTAGTTTCTGGTACCCACGTAAGTGGAAGGACATTGTATTTTCCTCATCTTTCCTATGGTGTGCCGGTGCCACCTCCACAGTGCAGGCGCTTCCTGCTCAGTTTTGGGTCACTCTTGTGACTCCCTTGAACAGCTGATGCCCCAGTGCTTACAGCTGCCCCTCCCAGACCAGCATCAGGCCGTGCTGGAGATCTAGAACAGCTGCTGCCTCAGTGTGCGCCTCTTAGGACTTGCCTGCCCCATGCAGCTGCGGGCTTCCTTCCCCGCTCCGCTGCCCTCCCTCCAGCCACACCCTGACAAGTACAACTGCCTTGTGGGTTGAAAAAACTGCGCTCCCCATTCTATTCTTTGTTCAAGGCCAGAGTTTCTGCCTGCCTCTTGTGTGTTCCAGAGAGAAGCAACTCGTGATTCTTAACATGGGTGTCTTTCTTCTTGTGTATTGTTGGACACCTGAAAATTCCATCCAAAGCAGTGCTTTCTTCCATTTAGACTGCAATAAAAGCTGCTGTAAGTCGCTACACAGGCCAAGGTCGGTTGCTCAGGTGTGCAGCTGTTCACAGATCAGCCTTGGTTGCACAAGAGCCTCATTTCACCATGATCCTTCGGGGCTTGCCACGGTGGATCGGAATCATGGCATAATACATCAGAATGCATTAGGGATTTAAGGTGCGTTTGTGCAATGTATTCTCCCCCTTTCAAGTTCTAGCCGATGGAAACACCATACAAGGTCTCGAAGCGCATTGGAGCCCAAAGGCTTTGCACCTGTGCAGGAAATCTCCCAACGGGAGGGCAGGCAACTGACAGGTGTGCAGCCGTGACAGGAGATAGGGCTCTGTGTCACATTGGGAAACTGCACTGCTCTAATGTGGCAGCAGCAAGAACACGGCATTCGGAGCAGGACATCCCATCTCATCGGTTGGCAGTGAGGCCTACAGGCCTGTCACTCATTGTCACTGAGGGTAGCTGGCACGGGAAACTCCCCCTCCCAGGAGGTGGGGAGGCTGGGACTAGTGCACAGAATCCACTCCATATGAAAGTAAGGTTCAGCTTGAAGGTACAGCCTTATTTGTTTTTGAGTCCTGATGGGAGATGTCATTCTGAAATCTGTCTCTTATTGGTTGTTGAGTAAAGCACTGTTGGCCAATAGGAAAGCAAGATAGGAGGGACTAGGAGTCCAGGAGGACTCTGGGTAGGAGAAACACAGGGAGTCAAGATGTAACCGCCATGGGGATAAGAAGCCCGGAAACTTCTCCGGTAAGAGAAATACTTAGATTAACAATTATGGGATAAATACTTAAGTCAGAGCTAGCCAGTAAGAAACAAGCAAGACCAACAGCTTCATAATTAATACAGTGTCTTGTGTGTTAGTTGGGGACTAAAACGCAGCAGAGCCCAGGCAACTGGCGGGGGTTAAAACCAAAGCGGCTAGCAAGGAAAAAGCTTCTCTCTACAGGGTCCTAGTATGCAGAGTTATAGATGTAGCCCATGGGGTTGGAGAGATGGCTTGGTGGGTGAACCCTCCTGTTGCTCTTGCAGTATTTGGTTCCCAGCACCTGAAAGGTGGCTCAGAGCCAATCCAAACTCCAGATCCAGCACTCCCTTCTGAACTCTGTAGGCACCAAGTACGCACATGTAAGAATACACATACAGACAAAACACACACACTTAGAAAAATGTTTTGTAACGTAACCCAGTGAACTAAGGTCTGAACTGCAGTGCTGATCCTAAGTGAGGCCCGATGGAGGAAGGCTGGATAATTGTACATTATAGATCATAGCTTAGAGGAAAGACTGAGAGGCGCATGACTTTTGGGAGTGGTAGTATCTCATGTATCCCAAACTGGCCTGGAACTTGTTATGTGTGTAGCCAAGAGTGACCTTGAACCTCTGATCTTTCTGCTTCCATCCACGGCTTCATGGTTTCAGACCTGCTAGGCAAGCACTATACCAACTAAGCTAAAGACTGGCTTGATGCCCTCCTTAAAATATAGATAGGTGAAGTGGTGTATTTTCATGAGAAAATCCTGACAGTTGAAAAGGAGGGGTTTTTGTAGCTGACAAATTCCCAGACTGAGCTCTTTGAAGGAAACTGTCTGGTTACTCTTCAACATCATTAACTAGGAAGGGCAAGGAGTCCCAGACACCTCAGCTCCCTCTCCCAAACTCAACTTCCAGAGGAACCTGACATACAACAGTACACAGTGACAGGATTTGCTGAGCGCATGAAGGCTTGCCCACTATGTCACCTTGTTAAACCGCCAGCTTCCTAGTAACCTTATGGGCCCATTCTCATCGTTTATTAGGATCCCATTAGAACTTTCACCAGAGCAAGCTCTCAGCTGTCAAGCCATGGTTGCATAGATGCATCATTTTAGGATAAAATAAAATCCTTTGAAATGGGTGGCTATTTTGTGTTAACATCTTTGAAGTAGCTGCATTTACTTGAAATCTTTCCATAAGGAGAAGAAATAAATCAGTGGAATTAGCATGTCATATTCTTGGTTCTAGCTCAAAGTAAAGGGGAAGGTTTGCAAGGGAGCATTGTCAACTGTCAGACTATAGGACTAAATCTTTAATAGGTAATACCCGAATAAAATCACAGATTGTGAATTCATGAGGAAAATGCATGAGATTGAAATTAATCTTTTTTACTAAAAAAAAAAAAAACCACCCGTAGTTCAGGAAAATCTGTTTTTAAGAGTAAATTACTCAAGATTACTCTCCCATATTAAAAAAAAAAGTCATCTGGGGCCAGAAGCTGTCTCTGGGTAAATTCACTTGCTGCAACAGCCTGGTGACCTACACACAAAGTCAGGCGGGGTGGTGTGCACCGGGAACACCAGCACTCCCATGGGAATCTGGGAGATAGAGACGGTATCCCTGCCTAATAGCTGCGAGCCAACTAGTCTAGAGTGCACGGTGCAGCAGCAGACAGCCCCGCCTCAACAAGGAGGACGCAGAGGACGCTGACGGTGCCCTCTGACTGCCGCATGGATGTCATGACACTCGCTCACACACAGACGTGAAAATATGGGGTGGAGAGATGGCTCAGCTCGCTGCTCCCACAGAGGGCCTGAGTTCAGTTTCTGACACCCACCTGGTGGCCCACAACCACCTGTAAGCTCAGTTTCGGGGAACCTGACACCATCCTCTTGAATTCTTGGGCACCAGGAATGCAGTTATGTACACACATACATGCAGGCAAAACACATTTAAAAAGTAAAGAGTCAAAACCCAAACCCACATTATACTTGCAAATGTACATGGGAAGACCTTACCTTATTACATGCATGTAGCAATAATTAATGAGAAAGAGGTCTTGAAAGAGCAAGGGGGGGTGTATGGGGAGCTTTTGAGGGAGAAAAGAGACAGGGGAAATGATGTCATCATATCCCAATCTTAAAAAATAAAAATGTTTTTTAGTGAGAATCTGCTTAGGCGTCTCTTTCCTCTCTAGGCAGGGAGGTTAGAGGGACTGGAAAATGACCAGAGTCCACAGGAGCCTGCGATTCACTTTTGTCATTTGGTGGAAACCATAATGCATTCAATTGATTAGTTTCTGACTTGACACCGTTTTTGTTAAAAAGGTATGACAGTTATTACACTAAAAAATCCAGTGACTCCCGTGAGATGCACAAATGGGGCGAATGGGAAAGGAAACCACGAATCTTCCTCATATGGCTAAGTTTACAGCAACCAAACAGTAACTGGATTAAGGGTGGGAAGCAGGAGCACTGGGAACCAGGAGCACTTCAAATGCGGAGCACTTCGGAGAAGGCTGAGTGGAGCTCCATTGTCACTGAAGACAAAGGAAAGTGAGTGCAGTTCACGGAGGAAGGGAGGGAGGGAGGGAGGCAGGGAGGGAGGGAGGCGCTGGGCTGAATGACAGCCTCCCATCCTCAATGTTCCGGTGTTTCTCAGTGCGCTGAGGTGACTCCATGGTCACGTAACTCGGGTTAAGTGCAATGGGCACTGTTTATTACATGTCTCCTACTTCCCAGAGGTCAATGTCGTTTTTAGAGTATTTGTTAGATAGATATTCTGAATAGAAATGCCTCTGAATTCTAGTTTTTCAAGACAGGGTTTCTCCGTGTAACCTTGGCTGGCCTAGAACTCACAGAAATCCACTCGCTTCTGCTCTCAAGTGCTGGCCTTAAAGGTGTGCTCCAAGACCAGCTGTGGAATTCTACTTTCTTATGTAAATATCTTGAGTGAAAGTTAATTATTTGATTGACTGATTGATTGACATTGAGTTCTGTAGCAGTGAGCTTTGCAGTTCAGCCTAGAATAGAGCATCAATTGAGGGGAAGATCACCCTAGATCCCACTGGCAGTGCTGCATCCAATAGCAACGGGTCCTGCCTTCAGCTTCCTACCCAAGTGCCTGTCTGGACTTTGGCCACTGAGGGACTGTGACCCGGAAGTGTAAGACACCCCTCTCCCCCGCAGTCTCTTTTGGTGAGAGTTGCTATCTTGGCACCAGAAAGAAAACCAGGACAAACACCC